CCCCCCCCCCCCCCTTTCATTTTCTTTTTTTAATAAAAAAAATCTAATTTAAGACCTGACCTTCTTGCCCTATTTGAAAAATTAACCAGTTCAATTCTGAAGCACTAAAACTCATGTAGTAGCAATTGTAGTGATTTATAAACAAGCAACAACTTGCAAGTTGATAGATTTGCCTTTCAGATATGTTTATCAAATTCCATATGTTTGTGCTGAAGAGACCTTAAAAAATATTATGTTCCTTTATTTATCTAAATAGGAAGGATTCAAGAAAGATCTTGTTAGTTTAGTTAAATAATGATAATCCTTAGATCATAAAGGAACTTTTTTCACTAATTTTTTTTCCTTGCTATTTTTATTAAAATTTTATTATCTTTGAAACTAAAGCTTTTTGTAAACAATTTTAAAATGGAATCAAGTTGGCCTTTATAATTTAGACTCTAGCTTGACATTACCCACTACACATGTGGTGTTAGGTGAAGGGGGGATAGAGAGAAGGTTTTATCTGATGTGGCATATGCTTATGTTAAATGTACAATTTCAGCCAATATCTACCTCATATGGGACATCTGAGGTAACAGTAACCATGCTCTCATGCTTGTCTTTATTTGGTATGCATTCTTTGGAGTAATGTGAGTCAATAGTTGGCCCCTACTAACATTTTTTTTTAAATTACAGCTTCAAATGTTGTTATTTTAGTTTGATATCAGCTCTGCTATACCAAAAATTGTCTTGGATTTTGGATAATAACATATGTTTTATACTAATTTTTTTATAGGGGGTGAGAACAGATTTTATTTATTGGGTAATGAATCTTCATTAATGGTGTCAGTTATTGAAAATAAAATTTAAAATCTTTGAGCCAACAAACATTATTTTGGGTTCAGTCTCAATTTACTTTAAACAAACTTACCTTAAATAGAAGAGCTTGATCAGTGGTATAACTTTATCTCACAGACAATTAATTATCCATGTAGAGCAAACACAGGAGCATGTCAACTGAAATGCCCAGATGTCCTTTCCTGTACATGGAAAGAATTTACATTGTCTTCTTCATTGTCGCAAGCAAGATTTTTCTGTTTGTCATCTATGTAATCTTTTATACAAACATGTTAAGGGTATTGAGTTTTCCTGTGCAGATGTGAATGCTTAGAAGTTCTTTATTAAAGGTATTGAGTACATGTTCTTATCTCTGCTTACTACAATTTTTAAATGTCTTTGACTTTTTAGTGGGTTTTTTCCTTAAATTTGAGTTGGGGATTTTCTATTTTGGACCATACATTATACTAAATGTAACTTCTTTAATTTCATTTTAGCAAATCTTAAGGATGTTCAACAAGTCTCGTATACTGTACATAATTCAGCCACACAGTTTTTGTGTCTGTATTATATATAAGTAGTGATGATTTAAAAGAAAATGTGCTTTGAATATCCATAAATTTCTTGTTAATTCTTAGACATTTTGATGTGGTTTATGGAATGATGAGCTAACGTGGATTAGTCCTAGTCATGGCCGGCTCCAGTGCATCCTTCTCTCCTATATTAAATGTATGGCTGTACACATGTCACAACTGTTACCATATCGCAATATACCATTACCCACTTGGTCATTTTGGGCTTTGTTCAGTTTTATCTTCAAATTTTCAAACACCACGATTTTTTACATTTCATTTTAATCTTAAAATTTATAAATAATTGTACACGTTTCTAAAGCCATGATGAATAATATATTTATAACATAGATTTTTCCAACAACAAATATTTTTAGTGATACTGAGGCCAGAAATAACATTTTAAAAAAAAAAATGATCAACAAATAAACAACAGTGACATACATTTAATATATCTTTAAGTTGTATCTTGTGCAATTCAAAACAGCTATATTAGCAGTTAGCGTTAAATAAAATATCAGATTTTTTGCACTTTAGTGAAAATGAGTGGTGGATGTTAAAAAATGATTCTTTTTTTGTGTCATGTCAAAAAAAACAACCAATTACTGAAATAACATTAATATATTTGTATTTTATTTTCTAAAATTTGTATTATAAAAGTATTTTTTCAATATACTCTGAAAGTGTTTATTATTTACATTTAGGAAATACAACTTTTGATGCTTTTTAAGAAATTTGAAATTTGAAGGCTGTATTTATGTCATTAAAAGACACACATGGAGTAACGAAAACACTTTTTTTTTTGACGGATCTTACATAACCACATAAAAATTTCTTGTTGATAACACTCTGAAAATTAACACAAAAAAGGAGCTATTTTTTCCCCTGAGAAATATTTTAGGCTTTACCAAAACTCCAATTGAAGGACATTTTTATTAACGTTTTTTATTAAAGAGGCCTCCCTAATTGACAGTGTTTTGGTGATTCCTTAAATGTTGGAGTTGAAAAAAAAAACTTTGTTTAAGTGATTGCAGGTATTTGTAATATCCCAGAAGGTTGTACCTGTGCCCATTGTTGATTTTTTTAAATCCGCTCTTTGTGGCCAAACTTAAATTGCAGAGGCGATTCTCAAACATAATAGCTTTAACTAAAGGCAGCTGTTTTCTTTCTTTTTATCTTTATACACCCTCTTAA